CTAAGTATATTTATTAGAATGTGATTTTTATTAGGATGAAGAGTTTTTAACATTTACAAAGTAAAGTTCACAAGCCTTGAGATTGCTGGTATTTGAAAATTGTAATGAAAAATAAATGTAATTTCATTTAAGGTGATGGTGTGCACACTGTAGGATGTGTTTCTGTGATTTGGACTGAAGTCTGTGTCATTCATTTTATTTATGTATTTATTGCTAGTATTATTTTTTTTTCCCTACCCCACCTCTGTGCCATTCGTAATGGGATAATCTACAGTTAGGAGGGAACCTTACCATCATATCTTCTGTTCAAGATGGTTAATTTTAGACATTTGTTTAACCAAGCTAAACGTTTTTTCAAAGCTTGTATTATTTTAAATGTTAAGAGAAGTAAAATAAGTGTGCCTGTGTAGTTTGAATGTTTTCTTGTTTAAGTAAATAACTGGAGACAAAACAAGGAAGGAGAAGATAATTAAATAAGAAGGCAAAATTGATTAATTCAGAATTGCATGTGGTGGTGTCTCTTTGACATTGTTGGAGCACGAGAAACCTGCTGAATAGCAAGAAACAGCAATTTTTAAAAATTTCCTTTTACCGTTTAACAAAATCAAATCATGGTGATCTTTGGAAAGATGCCTTTTCAAGTGAACAATAGGGGAGAAATGAGATTGGTTAATTAGTTGAAATGATGCAAGTGATTCATAATAGCTAGAAACTTTGGGAGCCAAATGGTGCATTACGCTGATAGATATAGGCATGGGAATTCCTAATCCCTCGAATCCCTCGAAGTTAATCGGAAGCAGAGCATCTTCAGGCCTAATGATTCTTCTAGCAATTGTGAGATTGGCAGTACCTACTGTATGTGGCATTCCTATTGGAATATATAACCTGTTATAAATGAAAAATCTTCAACTATATGAAAAGTAATATGGTTAGGAAAAGGAAATAGTAGAGCAAGAAACCAGTACTCTGAACAAAAATTTTAGAGAGATAGCAATGGAGTATCCTGTCCTAACACTGTTGAGTGTGTTTGGCTTTTCAGTGGGGGAGATGGAGGTTGAAATGGTAATGACCAAGGTGGAGTAAGAATGGGACACCAGCCCTCAGATAAAGAAGTGTTGCCATGACCAAACCAAGACCAATTTGGGGGATGAAAATAATTTATTGCGAGACCTCTGTGTTGCTCTTAAATTTTGCTTACGGTCCCCCCGGAAGGTTAGCAGAACTATTTGCCTCCCATCACCATACTTATGCAACCCACTCACAACTCTTTATAATTCCGGCTTTCAGCCTTGGGGAGGGGAAGTAAGTTAAAAGGGATTATGCAATGCTGGTTTAGAGTTATTGGGGGAGGAATGTGTGTGACTAAGTAACGCAGTTCACTCTGTCCTTTGACATTTGCTCTAATACATTTTTATTCTGAATGAAATTCTGGAAGGAGTGAAATGACATGGAGAACCAAAGAGGTGTGAGAAGGGAGGTTCAGATAGCAGAAATCCTTCCTTCTCTCCCACATAGATGCCAGTATCTGTGGGAGAAAAAGAGCGACAACTAGGAACAAAGAGAACTTTTATTTTGGCCTCAGTAGAGAGCGCTTAAATTGAGTTTTTGAATCTGCTGCACCACTTTACCCCATAATATCTCACAGCAGAACATTCTGTCCCTACAAAGTTTGCCCCTTTAGTCTGATATTTTTAAATATTTAAGTTAGAAGTATAACAAAAGCAGTTTTATATAAGATTTATTTAGATTTTTACTAACAATAGAAAACTTTCTCCTAAGTATTTAACTTGACATATATCCTTAAAATACTTGAGGGCAAAGGAAGATCATGGAGAATATGAAAGTTCACATGATTAGACTTACTTCTATCAATTTTTAAAATAAAGGAAGATAAAAATAATCCATTTTTTCCAGAGAGAGGAAACAGAGAGAGGGATAGATGAAAGAAAGAAGGGAGAAAGGGAGAGAGGGAGGAAAGACAAGTGAGAAGAGAGAGGGAGGGGGGAAGGGACAGACAGAAGAAACCAAGAAACAAGCATTTATTAAGCATCCACTGTGATCCAAAACGGTGTTTAGGCATTTCTATGAAGCATTTTCCTTCTTGCTCACTTAATCTTCAAGACAATTCAATGCCCCCCACCCCTGACTTTATTTTTGGAAGAGGAAGCAGTATATTTGGCCATATTATATTTGATATTTATATTTATGACAAGACAGAGATGCTAGGAAGGCTAACTAAATCCTCCCACAAAAATTGGCACAGATATTGCTGTATGGAAATTTTCTTGCAAAGACTTGTTTTTGATCCATAACTATTACATTTCCTGGCACTAGGAGTTTGTCTGGCCCTGGAAAAGGGAACTGTAGATTGGCCCTTCTCCATATTAAGTGATGAGTTTGGCTCTTTGCAAATAAGTGCAGGATTAGTCTGCTTCGGGAACATTACCTGCGTTCAGATAGAGTTGTTACCAGGAGCAAGACTGATTTAGAGGATTCCTGGATGATCTTCTGGTAGGTAGAAAAAAAGAAAGGGCTGGCACCTTTTCAACTGTGGTGCGGAAGTGGTTCCAGAAGAGTTAGGAATAGAAAGAAAAGTTGGAGCTGTTTGCTACATAATTGTAGGAAAAACTGTATGATGATGATTTCTGAACATTTTCAGTGTTTAAAAAGAATTGGGGTAAAACATGGAATATCATAGCACCTCTCTTCCAGGTAGCTTGAAATTAGTCTGCTTCCTTTTTATAGCTTCTTTGGTTAAATCTGCAACTATCTTTTGATATCTCAAACCACTCCACTCTTCCTAAGTTCCAATGATAAATACCTTCTAGTCAGAAAGACAGTTTCTGCACACAGTTAATGACATACAGTTTTAAAGCAGTCTGCCAGTCTCAAGATAAGCACTGTCTACATTTCCTATGAGTAGTTGCTAGATGAACCTACAAGATTACTGGGTAATCAAGATCGCCGAACGTTAGATTAACCAAAACAAACCCAAACCAAAACTCTGTATATTGTTTACTATCTTCATTTTGCTAGTTCTTCATTGACATTTGGTATGGAAAGTACTTGTGGCTTGGAGGTGTGGAAGACAGCAAAAAGGAAGGGGTGACAGAGAGGATGGGAAATGAGTATGGCTCATATAGAAATGAGCATGGCTAAGTGGATAAAATGAGACATGATAGCATCTTTAATAGCTGGATCTGAAGTTACTTATTTTTCTTCACTGAATTAATCATAATAGTGTCAGTGCCAAAGAAATAGGAAAAAATTATCAGTGTATTTTGCATATAGGCTGAGAAAAGAGTAACAATATAGATCCCAATATTACTAGGGTGTTTTTGAAAGTGGAGCCCTGCATATAGAGCTGACATTTTTTATTCTTAGTAGTCTGTTATAATTTATTGATAGACTGCAGCTCAAAAAAATATATGTTCAAAACTGATTACAACTCAGATATGTATTTTTAGAACAGTCTGACAAACGGGGTGTAGTAGCTCATGCCTGTAATCTCAGCACTTTGAGAGGCTGACATGGGAGGATTGCTTGAAGCCAGGAGTTTGAGACCAGCCTGGGCAGCACAGTGAGACCTTGTCGCTACAAAATAAATAAATAAACAAACAATTTAGAAAAATAGAAGGAACAGTCTGACAAAAATAAAATTAGTCTTAGATTTTTATCTTCTTTTTAGGATATGAAATATGCAGGCATATTCTGTGAGTACAAAATTGGTGCTTGCTGCCTGGATATGTAGGCTTAATTCTGCAATGTCAACACCCCTGAAGCTACTGACCATTGGGAACTTTGTCCGTAATTAGCATAGGCTGCCACTAATAAGTTACAGCATTTTGGTAATGGCCTAGTAAATTGAAAAGTTAGACTTGCTTAGAAAAGTTAGAGTTTCAGACATTTTAAAAATACTTTTTGACCCACTAAAAAAGGTATATGACTTTATTAATAAAAACCATTTTCAATTGAAGTCAAAACAAAATTTTGTAAAGCAAAATTATAGGAAAATTTCTTAATTTTCTCAAACTACTTTGTATTTAATATGCTATTTAATCTTTATAACAGTTTTATGAATATCCCCATTTTAATGTAAATAAATCTCAGAAATTTTAGATGACTTATAACAAAGTTGTGTATCTAGTATTTTCCATCTTTAAACCTTAAATACACATACCCTGAATGCTGGAAATCTAATTATTTCAGTTACTACTTAATATAATAGAAGATTCCCTGCCAATTAAGCAAAATGTTTTCTTTAATTCTCTGTATTCAATGTCTTAAAGAGTTTATGGTATATAATCTATTGGAAGGAAAAGAGAATGGATAAATTTTTAACATGTCTCATGGAATAGACATGTTGATGCTTTTAGATTTTACTTGATGAAGTAAAATAATGAACACATTTTTTATAAGTTAGGTGGGTTTCTTGCTGATACATCAGTCCTAAGTTGACTACCAACTTTGGGGTCTTAATTGATACAGTAATCACATTTGGTATGGGCTTGATCTCTGAATATAGAATGGAGACTGTAGACCAGCATGGGCTCAGGACTTTAAGTCCCGGAAATATATAATCAGGTTGCATCAGAACAGAAAGGGTAGTTCTGTTGCAGCAGAATCTGCCACAGTTGTGTAGATGTGATGATACATTTGAATTTCAAACATCCACTCTTAGATATTCATGAAAAATTCTATTTTTAGATTAAGTGGTTACTTAAAGGAATATTTATATCTCACATGTGCATTTAGCCATCATGTCCACTATAATTTTGCTGTCTGGTCTCAGAAAGGGAAAAAAATAACTTTAGACAATACTTATTACTTTGTTGACTGTGTTAGTTTCTTCTTCCTAAGCAAATTATTGTAATCTCATCTCTCCTTTTGAGTCCAATTTTTCTATAGTTTGCTTATGTCAATGGCTCTTGACAAAATGATAAAATATATTTCCAGAAAGCACGTGGATTTGGAACTCTCTCTTGTTGTGTTTATATTAGGCTTTATTTTAAAGGCAAGTGAGACTGCTTCAAATAAAACAACTCCAAGCTTCCAAGAAACAGTTAAGAGAAGGGCAGAAACACTTCTTCGCTGACACTCACACTGTTGCCATGGACCTACATAAGCAGTGGGAGAACACAGAGACTAACTGGCACAAGGAAAAGATGGAATTACTGGACCAGTTTGACAATGAAAGAAAAGAATGGGAAAGTCAGTGGAAGATCATGCAGAAGAAGATAGAAGAGGTACAAGTTGATTCGTTTTGAATATCTTGTAAACTTCAAGCTCAGAATGAAAGTCTGTTGAAGTTTGTTTTGTATTGGAAACGATTCCTATTTTCCTTATTCCACCTAAGAGGTGCATGTCTCTGTGACATTTACTAGACCAAAAATAGCATAATATTACCCAATGGTACCTTAAGAACTATTTTATAGCCTTGCATGGAAATTAAAAACTGGAACTGTCACTCTAAAATATATCAATTTATTATTTTCTGGCTAGAGAGCCTTGGTTTCAAAAGTGAGGAGGTGTATATTCTGCATGAGTTTTCAAACACCAGGTCCCACAAGTAAAATGCAAGAAAGACATAATTGTTGTGACATATATTAGCAAAATTACAACTGGACATTAGAATATAGATCTTTCCTGAGATAATTTATAAGTAATGTCTATTAAAGGAAGTTACATGTTAGATAAATCACTATAAAAAAGGAGTATCATATGTCAAACAGAAAGTGGCAGTGGACAGGAGCTGTATTCTGGCATGGTGTGCCACATTTACTGGCACATTTATTAGGAAAGGGGTTATGAAAAATTACATGTCACAACTCTGATGCAAATAGTCATTTTATTCCCATTGGCCATCCCTCAGCCTGGTAGGCCTGGAATATTTCCTTCAAACATTTGCATTGGTGTATAGTCAAGCTTGTTCTAATTGGAAATTATTTATGCTTTTCTTGCTTTCTTCTGGTAACATCCATAGTATTGACTTTATGTATAATATTGACTTTTATGGTTTTATGCACATTAACAAAGTGGTTATTTTAAGACTCCTTAGTCTTTATTTGCAGGCAAAGTAAGTGATTTATGTGTTTATGGTGCAAACATTTTTCTTATTAACAGCCATGTACTAAATTGTGAATAAAATACAAATTGGCATAGTATTAATAAAAGGAAAAATAAAGGAAAGTAGCTGTTAAGCCTTTTCTCTAAAATAGAGCTGAGCAGGCAGGCATGTAGTGTATAATTGGAGATTGAAAGGAGACTCCACTTCTTCTCCCTTTATGGTTTGGGAAATGTGTCCTGCTTTCTCCCTTAACTCCCCTACACAGAGACTCAGATTGGATCAACAAAGAGATGCCTAGGTCAAGTCAGAACCCAGAACGCCAATTCCATCAGAAACTGATCTGTAATCATGGGTCACTGGCTCCCAAATGTTTGGGAGTTCCAGTTGTTAACAGTCTCATACATTTCTAGCATCTAAGCAAAATAATTAAGGGATGCAGGATTAGTCTAGCCAATTGTTTAAGCCATGTAGATAAAACAATCTGTCCAGTTAAATTTGTTATTGTCCAATAATTATTCTGACAACTCTGTAGAGTCTGTCCAAGGTAAGTATTAGCCTTATCAATTAGTGAGCATTAAACATGCTTTAAACATAGAATTATTGCTCATAGATATATTATACCATCCCTTTCCACATCAGGGAAACAGAAGGACTGTAATATTTTTTCTTCATCTTGGAGAGGAGTTGTGCTACTATTTATGTCTTGCTGCCTGTACTATACTGCTCCATAGCTGGGAATATGTTTAAACAATATGCTACCCAGAATGCCCATAGATGATGCTTCTCTATACCTGAATACAATACCAGCACTATGTCCCCCTTATCATATACCAAAACATGTATAAAAGGTACCTTCTTATGGGCTATGAAGCATAGAAAGAGTGAAGAAAACAAGAGGAAAGTATCTTGACATGTCTCAGAGAATCAGGACAATTATTTTTTTAAGCTAAAATTAAGAAATCAACACCTGGAAAAATAATATGACACTAGCGTCATAGACTGTATTTGTTTAAAATTTATCGCTAAGTTCTGTGTATGAAATCAGATGTAAATTATTAAGTCCTGTGCTAGAGAATTGTAGATTCCCAGGTATACACATATAGCTTCAGTACTTTCAAAGTGATAACATCATCTAATGAGAGGATGCAGTATTAGTTATTAAGTAGCTCATGATTCTCTGTTCAGCCACTATCCGTAAGCATTGCATTTGCTCTTACAAAACCAAGATATACATAATTCACAGATCATCTGAAACAACTTTGAATAATCCATATAGAAATACTGGATAAAGTTGATAGACATCTGAGAATTTTTTTTTCACACTGTAATCTTTCCTGCTTGTATCCTTTGGTAGAATAATCATGTAATCATTGACAAGGGCTGAGTATCAGGTAACTCAGATTCCCTTATACAAAATAAATGGTTTTCTATCAATAATATTTATGTTATTTGTGTAGTCATACCTCACCTAAATCCCCAAGAAAATTTAAGGTGACATAAAATTGCATATGAGGTAAACTATGCAAAAACAAAAGTAGAAAGATGAGATGAAGACAGGGGGAAGGATTGTGTGTGAAACGTAGCAGTGAATCTATCTTTCTAGTAACTAACACAAAAATTATCAGGTGCATATTTCTTAATATTCAGAAGACAAAGCAAACCTGTTTCCTAGGAATAGCACTTTTCCCCCTGGTTTTTAAACTAAAACAATTTTGTTTTTACCTGTGGCTTCTCAAAAAGAGGACAATGTCACCAACAGCATCCTTAGATTTAATGTGTCACTTTTTAGTGTTGTTTCTTACAATATCCCTCGAGATCAGCCCAAACCATCATGCCTGCAGCCGTTCAATACAAATAATTTTACAGGACCAAAACAATTAATTCATGGCTGCAGTTTGATGCTATCCTGACTTTATACAATAAATACTAATAAATTTATTAGTATTAGTAAAATAAATGTACCATATATCTTTTAGGCATCAACTATGTGTAGTGCTTCTCTCAACTGAGTTTTGAGTAAATATTAAGTAGCAGTAAATCTGTTATATCCTTAAATAATACATGTGGTGCAGATATTGATTGTGGCTGTAAAATGTAGAGTTGTTTGCTTAATGGTTATCTGACAATCTCTTTTGAAATTTGACAAGCTTTTCCAAGACTCCAGCCTAAAGAGAAGGCCACTTCCTTCCTCTATTCAGAGGTGAGCTGAGTGAGTGCTTGCAGGTTTAACTAAGGTCTCACCAAGGAATACTTTGGGGTCCACTTTAACATAGACTAATAGATGATCAAAGCCTTAAAGTTCTATTCTGCCACATAGAGAATTGTCATATATGTTTTAATCTGCATGAGAAACTTTTAGAATGTGTATAGCCTTAGTATTAAAAAAAAAAAAAAACTTGGTAATATCTAGCCTTCACCAATGTAATTGACCAAGGGAAACATTCTTTGATTGACAAATGTCTCTTAGGGAACAGAATGAGTTGACTTACTATATGAGATTATCAACTATTTAGAGTGTTAAATGTTGACATACAAGTAGGATCATATATTTTTAAAAACATGACTTTAATGTTAAACTCTTCTCTCTGAAAGCAATTAGATAGGATGGCCAGTAATTTATTCAAATCATTCTAATTTTGTGACAGTGCTTCTGTATCTATGTATGTATAGATACAGATTCATTTTATTTTCGAATGAGTTGACTTCTAGTCATAAAGATAGAAGTTAGCATCCATGCATTGCCCTATTAAAAGTAGTCTTATGGTTTGTCAAAGCTGTTCTAGTTAATCCATATTTTAGAAGCACTATTTGGAGGCAGAAACATTATACCCAGGTGAAATATGGTAATATGGCGAAAAGAACTCAAAACAGTTTGCTTAATATCAAGAATATTAACAGTGAATTAGGGAAAAAAAAAGTTTCAATTTTGTTTTACAGCTTTGCCAGGAAGTAAAGCTTCGGAGGAAAATCAATATGCATGAACGTGCTAGGATCATTGGTCTTGATCTTGAGAAGACCACTCAAGACAAAATGGTGGAATCTTCTCCAGACGACCCCAGTGCAGGACAATGTGAATTTACAGGGATGAGTCACAGGGACGGTCTGGGAAAAGAAAAGAAAATAGAGCAGAGCTTATTCACTGAAGAAAATCAAATGTGTAAAGAACAAAAAGAAACAAAAAAATCAAAAGTAGGATTTATAGATCCTTTGGCCGCAGACAATCAAAAGGAATGTGAGGCCTGGCCTGCCCCGAGGACTTCTGAGGAAGCGAGAAAGAGCTGTTCTGGCGCCCTTCACACTGTAAGTGAGCTGTTATTAGCCTAGAACTCTTTCTAAAGAAATATTTACATTTCAAAGTGCTAACATGCTATTGCTTATACATATAAAGGCTCTTGAAGAACTTGCCAAAGTTAGTGAAGAATTATGCAGCTTTCAAGAGGAAATTCGAAAGCGGTCTAACCATAGAAGGTAGGCTGGTACATCTATGATTATTTTATGTTGGGACGTCGAAAAGAATATTGTTTGTAGTTAGTGAATCCAAACTGCCTCCTTGTTATGTTTTCTTCGTGAGAATTACTGAGTTATTAAAATTTATTATCTTGGATGGGAGGTAAAAACTTCGATTGTATATGTCTCTGCTCACTAATTCTTAAAGCAAATCTTCCAATTCTTTTTGTAATTTGACTATTAGGAATACTTCACTCTTTTGGTGTTTAGTTAAGGTAGATCTTCCATAATAAATTAACAAGTAGCCTCTGATGTAGTTTTTTTGTTTTTTTGGTTTTTTTTT